ACCATTTGACCGTGACAACACTGCCTACTTTGTGTACTTGATACCTACATAACCACACATATTTCTTATTTCTTTATTATTTTTATGAATGTTGTGAGTGATTTGTTTGTTTTTGAACTGATTGTTAAATAATAAAATGGAAATAAAACAGAAAGTCAATAGTGAAATGGAAATAAAGCACAAAATTAATACCACAGCATAAAGTTTATTTAATAGGCAGTGTCGCGATTAGTTTCGGCTTACATTGGTCAGTGACCACATAGAGGAAGGATTAATGTGACCACATTACATTTTTGATATAATGGATAAACTTTCAGTCATGATTGTAAAGTGTAAGTGTCTCCGGTTCCAGGTAAAATACGTTTTCTTGCTAACACAAGATACCTATAATATAAGAAATAAGAAAAACCAGATAAAACTAAAAAAATGAAAACACTTGAATCTTTTTTATCTATTATGATTGCCTTATTTTTAGCTATTTTTAGTTTTAGTTAAAATAATACCCGAAATTTACATTTTATAAATAAATCGTTATAAATATAATAAATGGTTTCATTTCATAAAAAAATGTAGCACCAAAACATGATTAAACCATTATAGTTACGATTTGTTTGCTTATTGTAATCAAATCTCAACTTTAATGGCACACATAATAACCACGTTCAAAGCGTGCTTCCAAAAAATTATTCAGACATTCAAAAATTGCCGCTATCGTTTAGTTTAAACCCCCACCACTGTGAGGGCGCTGAAATCAGCTACGAAAATTATACATTGAGTGTACTGTCTATAAACAATATATAAAAGGTCTATGACAGTAGGTTTCAATGTCTACTGAAATGTTATAGGGACCGTGCATCATGACTTTAACGCTAACTGGTGACAAAAATGTGAACTTTTTGGGGGGTATTTATTAATGTTTTATACGGCATTTATTGTTTAATAATTATTAATAAAATGAAGTCGAATTATTTTCGTAATATCAATATCGAAAAAACTTGTTGCATCCGTGGATGTACAAACACATCACTTTAGAAACCTGGATTTCATTCGATAGTAAAGAAATTTTATAAATTTCCACAGAGCACAATTATGCCTCACACCCAATGATATACATAATTACAAAGATTGCTTATCCATATGTAAATCAGACGACGAAAAGCGTATTTCACTGGGCAAAGTTTTCTTTTTATCTAGCTTGTATCAATTTTGAGCACTTAGTTGTAAAGAAATCATTTACAGAACCGGTTTAGAAATTAGAATCTTTAGTGTTTTCTTGTCATTAAGATTTTTACATTTTTAAATGAACATTTTATATAAATATAATTTTACAGATAATGGTTTATTCTGTTGATTAAAACTAATGTAGAATGTTATGAAATAAGAATGTCCAATTTGACAAAAATATCACGGCCCTCTTTACAATTTATTAACTATTTCTCATTTATTATTAAAATAAACAAATCATAAATAATACATTGCAATTACTGTCAAAAGAGATTGTAACAAACTTTAAAATATTAAAAATCCAGTGATTTTTTGTAAATTTTTTAGTGACATTACCATTAAACATTATTCAGAATAATAGATAAGTGTCCAATTACAACTCTTACCAAAGTTGTTTATACCTCATATCAAAATTGTTTACATTACCTTTTCAAAATTGTATTACATATTGCAATTATGTATTTTATGTAGAATTGTTTCTGAAATAGTAGTCTAAAATTATTTATATCCGTTATAAAAATTGTTTAGATCTCTTAATATTATTTAACTACATGAAAACTCAACTTTCCAAATACATAATGACATGTCTTGAAGTAAAACTTTAATTATTTTCTTTTTCTAAAGATTAAAATGCTGAAATTTTATTTTAAAACACATTTGGGCTAGAACGGCTCTATTTAGTGAGCACTAGGAAAGGCACATTGCAACCCGCTTTTCATAATTTTTTTATAGTTGGGTGAGCAATCTATAATATATGTATCATTGAACATCTCATAAACGCCAGTGGATGAATGACATTTCGATTAACATAAAGCTAAAAAGATTTATAATTATTATTATCAATCTTTTTTATTAATTTACATTTTTTAAATGTTATTGTAATACTTTTAAATTCAGTGTTACTAAATACCGATATTTTAACATTGGATACACTTGTTTAAGGTACAACTTTACAATTTATTGTCACTTAGCCATTTAAATCTTTTTGCTTAAAATGTATATGCATGTCCAGATTTTAATGATGTTTCACATTTTACGTCATTTTGATCATGTACACGATTGTTTGGTACGGGCCGGTATCTATTTTTAACTATATTTAATATTTAAAAAAATACCCTTCATTATTTACTTGCAATGTTTACCCCATTTAATTCTAAAATTAAACACTAGAGAGGGCTAAGTTCGGCAGTAGTGCTGCCTCTATATTTCACGCACGGTCCCTATATTTATATTGGTCTTGTATATTATTTCTATGACTGCTATAGTGTATTTGGCGACACTTGTCCTTGTCATGAATTGTTTTATTTTTTCATAAAAACTTACGCTTTTTTAATTGTTATGTAAGTTTGTTTATAATTTGATTCCGATTTCTAATCCAGTTGATATTTACATGTTTTTTGTCTTCTAGTACTAAATGATCTTTGATGTGCAAGATCTCTTCAACTAGATCGTTTGAAATATCCTTTAAATAAACTCTACAAATTCACTCCTTATTTTTTTTTAAATTAATAGAGCTTGATATTTGCTAAATATTTCAAGTTGATATTACCTTTCGTTTTCGAGTTTGGATTTTTTAAAATACTTCAACCTCCTAATAAAACTTGATCATATACGAGGTAGGCGCCAATAATTCCCGGCTTGACAATGAAGGAGGCAAAGTACAACAAGTTTTTATTATTTTTCAATGTAATCTCCCTTAACCTCAATGCACTTCTTAGAACGTTTAATTAACAATTCAATCCCTTTAATAAAATATTGTTTCGGTTTATCCTCAAAATGGGCCAAAACAGCTTCTTGTAACTCAAAATCGTCCCGAAAACGTCGCCCGCGAAGGTCCTTTTTCAACTAACTAAACAAATAATAATCGCTGGGAGCCATATCTGGACTATAAGGAGGGTGATCTATATTTTGAAACCCGCAATCTAGGATAGCAGCTTGTGTAACGCCAGCAGTATGAACGGGCGCATTGTCGTGCTACAACCGCACGCCTCTGGTTAATTTTCCTCGATGTTTTTCCCGAATACATTCCCGCAACTTATGAAGTAATGCGGCATAATATGTGCTATTAACGGTGGTATTTGTCTCTTTAAAATCAATCAGAAGGATTCCTTCACAATCCCAAAAGATCGTAGCCATCACCTTTTTCGTTGATTGGTATACTCTAAATTTTCGTGGGGGGGGTTTCACCCTTACGGCGCCACTCCATTGATTCCCTTTTCGACAGAGGATCATAATAAAGAACCATAGTTTCATCTCCAGTGACTATTGTTTCCAACACGGGGTTCGGATCATCTCCACACAGTTCCAAAAACGATCGAGCACACTCGACACGACGTTGCTTCTGAATCGCCGAAAGGTGTTTGGGCACTCATCTTGCACTAACCTTATACATACCCAAATGATCATGGAGAATTCGGCGAACAGTGGTATCAGAAAGTTTGGTCATTTCTGTCATTTCCTTGACCTTCAAACGTCGGTCACTTAGCACCAGGTTTTCCACAAGGGCCACTTTGTCCTCCGTTATTACCTCCACTGGCCGTCCAGGTCTTTCGTCATCTTCAAGGGATTCCTGACCCATGCGAAAACGTTTTGCCCATTGCTTCAATACCGAATAGGAAGGGGAACTTTGGCCATATACGCCATCGAGTCTTTCTTTAATAATTTTAGGTGTAAGCCCTTCTTTTGTTAAAAATATAATAACCGCTCTGTACTCAATTTTCGTCACCTGAGACATTTTCGGAGATACTTTAGTTCAAAATGATGACAATTAAAATCCATTTGACGTAAGTCGCTTATTTTGTTACCACAGCCTACTTAGGTTTGTAGTTATAAAATGTTAAACTTTTATCCTGATAAAATATCTGCAACTATGTCAGGCCGGGAATTATTGGCGCTTACCTCGTATTTTTTTAATTTCAACCCCTCTTAAACCCCCACATTTTTGATTAAATTTTTTTCAAAATCAAAGGGCTTTTTCTCCTTATAGAGCTTGATTTTGCTTGAAATTTTTCGATTTTGACTTATTGTGCGGATAAAAAACAATAGTTGTTTAGACCCATTTTTTTTCTAAATTACTTATTATACGGATTAACGAAAGTCTCAGACTAAAGACCTTTATAAGACCTTTAAAGACCTTTGTAAATAGGATTCAAAATTTGAAACGTTGATATAGCTAATTGTAAAGTTTTAGATCAAACATTTTAAAATGACCTACAATAATTTATTTTGTTTAACCGTTACACAAAATTTATTTGAATTTTATTGTCCTAATCCTAATCAGATTAACGATGTCAACACTAAGGTGTTTAATTTATCTATGAATTTTAATAACATACAAACTCTAGTCATATGAAGAAATATGATATTATGAAATAATTACTAGATTCTAAATGATTTAAACAAAATAATTTTTCGTTTACAAAACAGCAGTGTAATTAAAAACTGTACATTTTGTATCATATAAATAATTATGTACAAGATAATTTTATAAACGTAGAGTCTGATTGAAATAAGAAGAACGCAGCTACGTCATACCCATTATGTCAAACTTAAAATATAAATAGTTTGGTTTTAAAAAATAATTCTCATATTTCTATAACACGCCCTTAAATCTAATACGATTGCCAACAAGTGACTCCACCAAGTGATGACATAGCTGTTTTCTTATTGTAATCGAACAGTACATGATAGTTGCTATACCGCTATCATATTTTACGCTAAACAACAACGTTTAATGAAAAGATATCGTTAAAAATAACAAAAATCAAATGACTAACCTCTGCATCACTCTCACAATTGCATATCAACCTGGAAATTGAGCCACCCTGCCATATACATCCGTTTCTTCCATCCTCAGTAAGATCCTGCGATTTAGCATCTTTGTAGAGTAACAACAATAAAATGCTTAACAATGCTGGCTGTCTAAAAATTGTCATTTTCCATGTTTGCTACATACGAATTATGAGCCCGTTTGTGAAACTAGAAAAAAACGAAAATAAACTATTAAAATAATAGAAGAACTAATCAAAATTTTAATCATATCTCAATTGTATAGACTAAGTGGTTCCCAAACTTTTTCTGTGGAGCCCCCTTTTTAAAATAAAGAAGTGGTTATACCCCCTCCCGTTTATAGAAACAGAAACTACTTTTATTACAATTAAATTTATTTATTTAAAAAAATAACAATATTAACTTCTCATTTATTCAATAAAAGAAAAAAAAATTGTTTTCTTATCGGTCACCACGCTCAAAAAGTGTAACTTGAATTAATATCATAGAAAAAACTTGAATTAATACCAAATAAAAAAATACTGCATAAATAAAATAAATAAATAAATAATTATAATTGATAAAAAATGCTATGCAATAGCTTTACCGCGGCAGTCCCCGAGTGCCATACGTATTTTTTTTGTTTGCTTATTATTGTTTATTATTGTTTATTATTGTTTATTATTGTTTATTATTGTTTATTATTGTTTATTATTGTTTATTATTGTTTATTATTGTTTATTATTGTTTATTATTGTTTATTATTGTTTATTATTGTTTATTATTGTTTATTATTGTTTATTATTGTTTATTATTGTTTATTATTGTTTATTATTGTTTATTATTGTTTATTATTGTTTATTATTGTTTATTATTGTGTATTATTGTTTATTATTGTTTATTATTGTTTATTATTGTTTATTATTGTTTATTATTGTTTATTATTGTTTATTATTGTTTATTATTGTTTATTATTATTTATTATTATTTATTATTATTTATTATTATTTATTATTGTTTATTATTGTTCATTACAGTGCTTCACTTCTTAATCAAAAACAAAATTAAGCAGATGTTCGCTGTACGACGAATAGGCACATAATACCGCCCGAATCTAAGAAATATGGTATTTATAACCAACCTCGAAAACGTGTTAAATCTTGCATTGACAACTGCAAATTGCGAATTCTAATAATTAACAGGTCTTGTTTTGTTTCTACCTATTTAAATAGATTACACTTTTAGGTGATTTGACGTTGAGAAGATATAATGTTTAAAAACTAGGTATTATTTTTATGTAAGGGTGGGAATGGTATGTTAAATTAAAATTAAATTAAAGGGCGCTTTTATAGTGGAAAATAGTTGGGATACAATTGTACTAAAAATCGTGATTTCAATTTTGTCATGTCGAAAGTAAATTTATTTGTTTATATACATTTTCTAAGGGCTTAATACGAAAAATAATATCAACTTGACATTTTTATCAAAAATCAAGCTCTATAAGGGAAAGAAACCCTTTGATTTTGAAGTCGACTGAACGACTTGTGTAGGGGAAGGGACGGCTATTATTATTATTTGCCGTGGCGCTCCGGGGCGACTTAAGGATGATTGATGGTGCCATTTGACTTACAGGTGAGGAAAACCCGGAAAACCTCACCCACCATCAGATTAAAAACTAAAAGCATGAAATTTTTAGTAAAAATCAAGGAGATAAATCCTATTTATTCCGAAAAAATCTAATTAAAAATGGGAGCTAAGGGGGTCTGTTAAACTATGCGAAGAGTATAATATAGAATGCTTAGCATTCTAGTTAATATTTCATTTTAGAAAAAGTTACCTACCCTTTTATTATTATGTTGGTTCTGTAAAATCATATGAAAAAATATTATTTTATCAAGTATTTAATTTAAAACATTATTAATAAAAAAAAAATATATTATAAATAATTTTTATTATACAAAAATTACTTATCTTTTCTCACTTGCCTTACTATGCCTAGAATACGATTATTGAACTAATAAACTTATCACAACCAAACTGCACCGTTTTTTTTGATAAATAGACAGTAATAGAATGATGTGTTTATTTGTTATATTTTTGTAAAATAAATATTAATATTAAAGGTTAATAACTCTATAATGAAATTTTTAATTATTTCTTTTTTATAAATCGTAATATACACGTTACGTACATACCAAGAAAATCGATAACTGTGCAAACATCAACTACCAGAAAAATATAACTGACACACACCGCATCCATCAAATGTATCATTTTGTTTACTCAATTATTAAACACTTCGTCGGGAACCCACCTTTCTGTTCAGTTTGTTAACTTTTGAACTTCTCTTAATACCTAACGCGTATATTTTTCTATAAAGTTGTTTTAGTAACACTTCGAAATGAAACCAGGTGAAATATATTTGTTTCCGAGATAAGATCACTGATAATCTAATTTCTATCTGAGTTGTTTCATGCCAAACTTCGCACAAACCTATACACTACCGTTTTATTACCTCTGATAAGATTAAATGTGACTAACAGAACAAATATAAAATGATTGAAAAGTTGGAACTGTTATTAATACTCGAAATAATTGAAGTGACGCTAAGTTTGAACATTAAGAGCAAACATGACGGGCGCTCCTCCACCAAAAATCAATTTTACATTTGAGTCAGTTAAAAAAAATTGTAAAAAAAAATGGTTCAGGGAAATCGTTGTAAAAATGAACCAAGAATTTCGTTAAACCGCGAAAAACTTATATTTTTAAAGAAAAACAACAAAAATTTCAACTTTTTAATAAATTTAATTTTTTGGCTCTTTACCGGCATTCTATAACAAATATCTTAACTATTTTCTAAATAACTTTTTTTCAAAAAGATTACCAATTTTAAACAGGACCGAAGATTAACATAGTTTTCATTCCGATACTAATTCTATTAAAACAATGATACCAGTGAATATGGCAACGCTGCTAGTCGTGTCGAAAAATAGGTACCTAGTTGTTTTTGAAGAGGTGCGAAATTATTGTGATCGTCTTAGTTTGTTGTTGAGGCGTTGTTAGGTTTTTGTTTAATTTAATTTTTAGTTAATTTATGAAATGAAAAATTCTGAAAGGCAAAAATGCACAGCTGACAAATTTCTATTTTATTTGTTTGCTGCCAGAGTTAGTAAATCCTAGAAAAATACGACATGTGCCAATTAGGGAAAAAGATTGTCAAGAATTTTGCACGCTTAAAAAAATGTGTAATATACAGGGTGTTTCTAAATACATGCGACAAAATTCAGGAACTGAGTGCTTGTATGAAATTAAGATGGGTCTTTTCTATAACAAAATTTCCTCAGCCCACCCCTTTTCGAGATATCACCCTTAAAAAGTGGTGACTAAAATTGAGTTTTTATTTTTTTTCTAAAATTTCAGTAAAGCTAGAAACTTGAAATTCTGTAATCGCAAAGGACTAACCACGGGTATTTTTTTCAATATTTCTGTTACATTATAGGGGGGTGAAATTAGCAACATTTACTTTATTTCATATCAAAACTTTTTTTCGAGATGAACTTTTATGAAATCCTTGATTTACTTAATTTTTTTTTATTCTTGAATTTTTTTCCCAAAACCAATAGCTTCAGAGAAAAAAAATTAACACCCTAATTTATTATTATTTTTTTTTTTAATAAATTGAGTGGAAATCAGTGTAATGGGCTTGTAACTATCGTATCGTACACTCTGTCATTATTCGTTTCTTGCAATAATTTACACCAGTTTACACCAGAAGATAGCACTTAACGAAGCGTTTTAGCCACTAATTTTGGCGAATTTTAAGAAATCATTAACAAGACATTAGAGGCTTAAATTTGGGGATTATATTAAGAATAGTGCTGTCGAGGCACGCATTTATTTTCATTATGATATTTCAAAATTAAAGCCCTTTTAGTTTCTTTGGGAAACTGGAAGGAATTAAAACCTTAAAATATATGCATATTATAGATATTATTGCCTAATTTATTTTGCCAAAATTTAAATATTTTGAGATATTCTTGTCCGATAATTATAAGGGGTATGAACACCTTAAGATTGAAAGAGAATTAACTTTAATTCATGAGATGCAAAGCATCATAATTGTCGCGTCACAAAAACCACCTGCTGCCAAGAGAAAATTTTGATGCAACAGTATTGTATATTTTGTGTTGTAAAAGAGAAAAAAATTAACATTTCGTGTTTTAATAGTTATTTTTTTAATTTAATAATCTATGTGAAAAAAAATTTTTTTAATACAGACTTTAAAAAATTGTTATATTAATATACTTATTTAATTGTACTTATATTTGTTGTTCCTTTAATACAATAAATACAATTTACCTATCTCCAATTCATCACTTTCCGTATCCATATACCTAGGGTCTGATTACAATTAGAAAAACACCGCTACGTCATAACTATTATTTCGAATTTCCAATATACAGGGTGTCCCGAAATTAGACGGTCATATTTTAACAGCGTAATCTACATCCTACAAGTATTAGAAATTAAAAATTAAAAAAAAACCGAATTCAAAAACATGCAGGTGCCATCACCCAGAGCTGGGACGAATCCTCGAAAAAATGGATTCGAATCACGAATCCGAATCACGAGATGTGATTCGAATCACGGATCCAATGTTCGAATCCTTTTTCAAAAAAAAAAGGATTCGAATCCTTTTTTTCGGATCACGGATACGAATCACGAATCAGTGTTATACTGTGATAATAATTATATTTGCTTTCGAAACTAATACTGTTTTATACTTCGGTCCTAAAATATTTAACGCACTTCCGGTGGAATTTAAAAACCTAAATTCGATAGGTCTTTATAGATCTAAATTGCAATAATGGATATTAACTAAACAAGGATAAATATTTTAAGATTTTATTAATTTAAATATAACTAAAATCTAAAATCATTTAGCTAAAAAGAACTTTACTTATTTGCAATTATCCAATTATTTATGTATATGATAATTATTTATAAAATATTCAATGCTGTAGCTAGTTTGTATCTATAATAAATAAAAAAAACAAGTATTAGAAATTAAAAATTTAAAAAAACCGACTTCAAAAATGTGCTGATGCCGTCATCACATCTAAACCAAATTTATATGGAACCATCCCTGAGGTACCCCCTGGGTATCCCCTTACAAACAAAAAAAAGAATCATATAAATCGCACGAGATGGTAAAGCATTATCGCTAAATATACATAAAAAATCTGATGTGTCCAACACATGACTTTCCTATCTAGTTATTACATGCTTTTTCCAGTTATCTTGTACAACCTATTGCAGCACCTCCATAAATGTTTAGAGGATAAAATAAATATATACATTTTCCACATACATCTACCTCGAAACATTTTTCTATAGATATTCATTGGAAATGAAAATACTGAAAAATTTAAATTTAGCACTTTTCCTACAATTTTTCCATTACGGTCCATTTTAGAAAAATAATGTATAAACAAAAATTATAGTGATCGATATCGCAAACAACTTTTATTTCAACAATTTTCATAAAAATCAGAATTGTGCACATTTTGTCAAATTTCTCGAATACGGACCATTTCAAGACATTTTGACATAAAGCAGAAATTATAGATAATAATATTAGAAGTAACTTTTTTTTGAATAATTTTCTTCTCCAAACATAAATAACAGATATATTCAATAAAATATAAAAACGGCCTCCCATAAAGTACCCCCCCAGATGTTCCGATTTTGTCCAAAATCTAATTATTTCACGTCAGGCCGAAATAAAACTTAAGTTTAAAATTTAGTGTTTTTCTGTGTATCGGTTCATGAGTTATGGTAGATATAGACACACAGACACACACGGCAATTTTACCCTAAGCTCCCCCTAATTTACCCACCTAAGAAGATGATCAATAACTGGGGTGTAGTCCAATAAATGAAGCGTAAAAAGGTAAGTATTTGTAACAAATTTTACCTAATTATCTTTAAACGTTTACAAAATATTTACAAAAGTGTGGTATCAGGACTTCACCTTTAACACCCTGTATCTCGGAAAAGAAAAGTTTTCGGACCTGTTTATATGAACTTTTACTACTATTTTAGGATGTAGATTACGCTGTTAAAATAAGACCGTCTAATTTCGGGACACCCTGTATATCATCTATAACTATCAATAAATAAAAAATATTTGAGATGTTTGGTTTAAAAATAGTATTCCTACATTCGTATATTAACAAGCCACTAACCCCCAGTAGGCGGCGATAGCCAACGAATTATACCTGAATTGTATCGACCCTTCAGGGTACGACACACAACATTGCCAAATTTATGTAGCGAACAAGGTTCTAAATACTTTAAAGGGAAGTCGTGAGATTTGTGCGGTGTGACGTCAGAAGGGACTGGATTGCTCTTAAATAACTTCTGAATCAATTTTGTCTGGCTTACACAAAAAGTTAGGTTTGCCCTAACTTTGTGAGTGAAGGGGGATGGGGTGAGGTTAATATGTTTCTAATATAGGATGTTTTTATTATAAAGACCTAATAAACAAGTTAAATCTACGGGAATCTTGTTTGTTATTATAAAAAAAAACTCTGTCGCGAGAGCAAATTAGTTTCTAAAAATGCTAATTATGGAGATTTGCAGGAAATTTACACCAGTTCTATTTTAAATTTGAAAGTTGGGTACAATGGTTGTTAGACGTTTTTACAATATTTTTCCAATGTATTTTCTGATTCTTGTTAGATTCATATACTAATTAATTTATCTGCTGTGTTGGTACCTAAGGTCGGGGGACATCCAACACAGATAAAAATGACTGTTTTTGAGTGAACAGAGAATGAATAAGTTTCTCAATACTGTAAATTAAATACCTTAAGGCCACAGTAGCACACTCCAATATTCGTAACATTAACTAATTTTGATAGATGTCACTTTTGTGTCATATTTAAAAATCTTTTTATTCAGTAGATGAAGCACAATTCCATATTTAATAGTTATTTTGTTTAATAATTTAATTTATTATTTATCCGGTACAATTTGGATATCTAATCGACATGGCAACACTGTGCAGTTAAACGGTAACTGTTAAAATCTTAGAACATAATATATATATAGTCAGGAAGGAGCATGCCATGCCCGCGTTAATCTAATCGATCTGACGGAAGTGGTAGCCATGTTGTACTATGGATGACTCATTATCATATGATATATGGTTTCTAAAATTGGTTTATATTTTTAGTGATTAAAATTTGTTTATAATTTGGATGTTTTATGTGTTAATTTAAACTTTTATCAAGCGTATGTTTGGTAGACATTTGTAAAAAGTGTTTTAGTATTTATTTAGTATTACTGTTAATTTCAAATTTTCCGCGTTAAAAGACAAACAAGACAATATGGTCAGTTGTTCGTCTTGTGGATAAAGCAGCACAGCTAAAAGTAGAAAGGAATAATCTACATTTCATAAGCAAATATTTTGTTCCCTCAATTTTCAACCACATTAAATATTTTTAAAATTTTTAATGTTTTAAATTTGTAAACAAACATGGTAGGTAAGTGCGTCTGTGATCAACTGTGCTCATAGCCGTAGT